GGAGGGACATGAACATTTAAACCGTAACAGATGGACATTGATATGGGTTGAATACAGGCCCCACAAAAAGATATGTTAGAATCCTAACCCCCAGTACTTCAGAACACGACCTTATTTGGAGATAGGATCTTTACAGAGCTAATAAAGTTAAAATGGGGTCATTAGGGTAAGCCCTAATAGGATTGACATTCTTCTATAAAGGGGAAATTTGAACACAGAGACACACACATCCTGTGAACGTGAAGGCAGAGATTGCCAATGAATGGCCAGCAAACCATCAGAAGCTGTGGAAGAGGCCTGGAACAGATTCTCCCTCATAGCCCTCAGAAGGAGCCAACTCTGCCGACACCTTCATCTTCGACTTCCAGCCTCCAGAAGTTGGGGGAGACAATACATTTCTATTACTTAAGCCCCTTGGCTTGTGGTTCTTTGTTATAGCAGCCCCAGCAAACTAACAGCTTCCATATGACCTCTGCCCAGCCTAATTTCTGCCAACACCATTGATGCCTTCCCAGCTGATAATTGCCTACATAGAATGACACAAACAGTCAACACTTACAGTTCTGAACCTGTTTTTCCCCTCTTCTGAGCTTTTGCACCTGGGGTTCCCCATGCCAGGAATGTTTCCACATCTCCACCCCCACTCCCAGGTCTCCCAGCTTCATTTCTCCTCCAGTGCCCGGGGCTCCTTGCCAGCACGTTTCCGCCTTCATTTCAGGTCCCAGGTGAAACTCTCTCTGTTCGCACAGTCTGTGACATTGGACGTCTCTTCCACATTTTCAGTTCCAGATTATACTCTCCAAGATTTTTCAGATGCCAGTAAATATGTGAACTCTATTCTTTCTTAAAAAAACTCTCATGGGCTGGGTTAGAGGCGGCGGCTCACACCTGTAATCCCAGCACTTTGGGAGGCTGAGGTGGGTGGATCACCTGACGTCAGGAGTTCGTGACCATCCTGATCAACATGGTGAACCTCCATCTCTACTAAAAATACAAAAATTAGCCAGGCATGGTAGTGCGAGCCTGTAATCCCAGCTCCTCAGGAGGCTGAGACATGAGAATCGCTTGAACCTGGGAGGCGGAGGTTGCAGTCAGCTGAGATCATGCCACGGCACTGTAGCCTGGGCAACAAGAGTGAAACTCCATCTCAAAAAAACAAACAAAAAAACCTCTCATGACCCCCTGGAATATTCCTATTGACTTCATTCTATTAAGCCTCAGTTCAGGAAACAAAAGTTCTGCTACAAATTATCACAACAAAAAGGAAGATTTATTTCTATAACTGGTAAAGATAGATTATCATCAAAATGGAAACACATAGTAATTTCTCAGAGAGTCTGCCCAGGAGCCCTGGGAGTTAAATACTCCTGTATCAGGGCAGACTCACCTATCTGCACATGGGAATCACCTGTGGGCTTTTTAAAGTGACCTGTGGCTTATGATTACCCTTTAATTGGTTGGAGTGGAACCTGGGATTTCTCTGTTCCTTTTTTTTTTTTTTTTTTTTTTTTTAAGCTCCCAGGTGACTCTGGTTTGCAGCCAGGATGGAGAACACGTGGCATGTCTTGATTGTGTTTGGGCTTCGTGCACCTTGGAATTTTATGCAGGGTATGGATTGGGTGGCATGGAGCCAACCTTAACAAGCATTGCTACCTAGCAGGGACCCCAAAGCTCTGCATGACTATGGCCTTCTGCTAACTTTGGGTTGTGCGGCCAGACTGTGACCACACTCCTTGGATTACCTTGCTTGCCTTATAGCACACTGACTTAAGGCTGGGGCCTTACATTCCCATGGTGCTGCTGGTTCTGTTAGAATCCAAGCTTGTACAGCCCATGGCCCATGGGCTTTGAATGCAGCCCAACACAAATTCATAAACTTTCTTAAAACATTATGAGATTTTGTGCAAGCTTTTAATATTTTATTTTATATTTATTTATTTATTTTTAGCTCATCAGCTATCGTTAGTGTATTTTATGTGTGGCCCAGGGAAGCCAAATGGTTGGACATCCCTGTAAGTTAGACCCTGAAGACAACATGAGAAAGGCAGGCCTCAAATGCTGCATTCATTTCACCCATGAGGAAGCTGTGGTCCAGACAGGTAGAAACCCCTTGTCCAGGGCCACCTGGCTTGACTAGAATCCTGAACGCTAGCTCAGTGCCCTTTTTCATTGCTTCCAACAAGACTGGATGTCCATCTGAACTTTATGTTAATAAAGTCAATGTGAATACGGCATATTTTCACGGCCCCAAAGACTCTATCCATGTGCATTCTGAACAATGTGCCACTTTTGTTACTTAAAAAACAAATAGTAAAGTCCAATCAAGTTGGCCTCATGCAACCCCTTAAATCTAGAAACCTGATCAGATTTGGTCAGGGCCATAAAGATAGGGCAGGCCTACCCCAGAGAGGCCTGGACTCCGCATCTCCTCAAGTCAGGGTTTTAGGGCTGTGGATCTGTGGGTCTGAGCTTGGACTCCCCAGTGGCATCAGAAAGTGGACTGTAGACACCCACACTGATCAGTAGTCAAAGTTCACATTGGTGATCTTGGAACCTGCTGTTCTTTGCCTTCCTGGGGATTTTCTCCAGCTGCATAACTGATAAAAGGACAAAGGTTTCAGGAAGGGAATGTGGGAGGAGTGAGTAGGGGCCTGGCCCCGCTCCAGCTTGGGTCTCCATCTGCTGCCTTCCCTGTCCGTGGAGATGCAACCATCTCTGCCCCCGCAACTGGGACCCAGGTCACCACCGGTCACTCCAAGTTTCAGAGCAGTGCCTTGGCTGAGTGTTTATGGATGTGGCCAACAGCCTTGGGGAGGCTCCCCAACTGGCTTCCTCTCTCCAGGGCTATAACCGCTTCTCAGTTTCCTTCCTATTTTAAAACTGTTTTTCCCAAGTCATCACCCATAGCTGTTAGTCTGGGAAGCACGGTCAGACAGACTCTCCTTGACCAGGGAGCAGGGGTCTCACCCACGGCCAACCAACCACACCCCCTCCCTTATACCTTGGTTCCAATCACTACCCTCAGATGATCCCTATCACTTCTGGGTATTGGCAGATGCTGCCTCCTCCTAGCTGGCCTCCCAGCCTGCAGTCTTAGTAGGACATCTTCCTTCTGTAGCAGGACAAGCTGCAGACAGAACTCCTCAGACACCAGATTAAAGAAGAAAGGTTTTTTATTTGGCCGGGAGCGTCGGCAGACTCGCGTCTTAAGAACTGAGCTCCCCCAAAAAGAAATACTTGGCCTTTTTAAAGGCTTACAACCTTAAGGGGTCCATGTGAAAGGGTCGTGATAAATCGAGCCAGCATGGGAAATGTGACTGGGGCCTACATGCATCAGCTAACAGAATAAAAAGTTTTACAATGCTTTTTTTCATACAGTATCTGGAATTTACAGATAACACAACTAGTTTAGGTCACGGGTTGATGTTATTATTACTACTTTTTTTAAACTCCTAGGGCTGGGTGGTGGTGCCAAGGTTGTCTGGCTATTTATCTTACTTTTGTTTCTCTCTTTCCTCCTGTCTTGTGAACTGGGCAAGGTGGGGGGAGGAGGGCAGCAGGAGTAGTAGTGGTCTCCTTCCTTCCTTCAAGCCTGGGCTTGTAACCACCCTCTCTGTGGAGCCCTCTCATCTTGCTCCTTCCCACTTCTGAAATTCCCTGGCCTGGGACCTACCTTGCTGCTTTTTGTGCCTAGCAGGCAGCATCACAGTGCTTTTTTCAGGGGCAGCCTCCCTAACACCCAGCACTGCTTGAGGGCACATGTCTTCTGCTTTCCTCTCCTGCCAATGCCTGGCACAGAGGTGGGCACAGAGCTGGTGTTTGATAAGTGTTTGGCGAATCGACGTTCCATTAATTGAGCTCTTCGCCAACACAGTGCAGCCTTGTCTGGGATGTGGGTTCACTGAGGATGCTGCTGAAACTGACAGAGAACCAGAGGGTTCGGTTGTCTCCGAACTTGGTGCCACTACCCAAGGGCTGCGTGTCCCTGGCCGCCGCCGTCTTTATCACCCTCGTCATCACCGCGGTTTATCGAGCACTCGCCTTGCACCCTGTCCTGTGAGGCCCCTTCCTAAGGTCGCTCCTTTGATCCTCGCCACGACCCTGCTTTGGAGGGACAATCGAAGCCCACTCGCATTCAAGTCTTAAGTTCAATGATAGCTTGACGTGGCCAGGGAGGTTAGAAACAGAAGTCGGCACCAGGACTGCAGGGGTGGGATGCAGGGCTTGGTGAACCACGGGGAGACTCCCTGGGGGCAGTAGTGACCTGGGACACCGCAGGCCAGAAATGCCGCCTGGAAGAACGCCCGCTCCTCCCAGGTCTGTGTGGGTTGGGCCCATGGGTTTGCCAGATTGGCTGGGGGCTCCTCGGGGTCCCAGCCGATTGGCTGATGGAAAAGCCCGTTTCAGCAGGGCCCGCCCTGGGCCCTGCCTCCGCGCCGCTCCGTGCTTAGGCGCCCGCTAGGCAGCCCCGACCCAGGGGAGCGGGACGGAAGCCCGGGAGCACCCTGCACCTGTGCCCGCCTCTGGGCACCTCCCCAGCAGCCAGGGCCAACGAGGGGTCCCCTCACCCTCAAATCTACCTCCTCAGAGAGGCTCGTCCTCCCGGGCCTGCCGCGATCCCTCGGGGTGGTCTCGGTGAGTCAGGGAGGGTCCGTGAAAGAGGGGTCCGGGGCCCGGCCCTCCGGCCTGACGGGGACAGCGGGTCACCCTGTGAGTCTGAACAGCTACCTGCCCCTCTGGGCCTCAGTTTCCTCCCTGTGAAATGAGGGGCGGGGCTAAAGGCTGGTGCCCCTGGAACTGAGGCTCCGGAGTTCAGTCCATCGCCACGAGCTCAGGCACGGAGAAGACAGTCCACCCAGGCACAGGAGCCAGGGAGACTGTGTGACCCAAAGTCAATGGGGAGAAACCCAGGTATGGGGACGTGCTCGGGACATTTGCAAACGTTCCATTCCCTAATGTATCCCCGGGAGGCGGCCGCAGCAGGAGACAGACTCAGAGCATACAGATGCACCAGTGGATTTTATTGGCATGAACGCAGCAGCCACGTAAGCTACGGAGCTTACGCCACGTAGCAGGGCGTGAGGGTGAGCAGCGTATCTTCCCGCACCGTGTCTTCACTACAGAAGTTGTACCTGGGGAGAAAGGGAAGCTTTGTAAGCGTTTGGGGGTCACCTTAGCAAAAGCCAGGTGCTGCTGTTTTTGTTTTTGTTTTTTTTTTCTTAAGGGGTTAAGCCCAAGTCACAGCTGAGGAATGATTCAGGAGGCCCGAGGGGACCCTAGGACTGGAGCTGCAACCAGCACCTGCAGTGCTTGCTGCCTGGAGGCTCTAGGACAAGGTCTGCTATGGTTCTGGAGTGTCACACAGGACGGTGGCCTCCGAAGGAAGGGACTCTCACTCCCTTGTTCCCACAGGTGCCTGGCGGCCACCATAGGCTCAGCAGCCTGGCTTACAGAGGGATGCTGTCCTCCAGTCACTCTCGGAAGGGGACAGCGGCCAACACGCCCTGAGCCCTTCTCATCTGCGGCCAATTATGGGGCATAATTCACTTGCGCAAACTTGATCCTCACCACACATGTGTGAGGGGGTCTGATTATTAGTTCTACATTACAGGAGAGGAAACTGAGACACAGAGGGCTCTCCATTAATCAGCAGAATAACAAAGATGCAAAAACAGGTCCATCTGATGCCAGAGGCTGTATTTTCAGGATCACACTTCAAGCCTTCCTTGACCTTGTCTTCCAGCTCTGGAGTCGGGGGACCTGGCGTTGCTCCCTGGAGTTCCTCATGACCTTGCCCTCCCATGTTTGAATGCTTTGGAGCTAGTTATCTGAGGATTCTGAGGAAGGATGTAATAACTGGGAAGCTAAAGAAAATCAAGATTTTGGTCCAAGCTCTTCTCAGAATCCCCTCATATTTTTTAATAACTTTATTGGGGTATTAATTCCTACTAAAGAACGTGCCCACTAGGATTCCCTCCAATGACACAGTATCAAAAGAGAAAGGCAAGGCCTGGTGTGGTGGCTCACGCCTATAATCCCCGCATTTTGGGAGGGCGAGGCAGGTTGATCACTCGAAGCCAGGAGTTTGAGACCAGCCTGGCCAACATGCTGAGACCCCGTCTCTACTAAAAATACAAAAATTAGCCAGGCGTGGTGGTGCATGCCTGTAATCCCAGCTACTCAGGAGTCTGAGGCACAAGAATCTCTTGAACCTGGGAGGTGGAGGTTGCAGTGAGCTGAGATCACGCCACTTGTACTCTAGTCTGGGCAACAGAGCGAGACTCCATTTCAGGGAAAAAAAAAAAAAAAAGAGAGAGAGAAAGGCAGCCCCCTTCATTTGTGGAAGAGGGCTCCCTCTCATGACTGTTGAGAGTTCCATGATAAGAACGCAACATCCCATGATGGTAAATGTAAAAAGTCTTATAATTAATACAAAACAATGCAGATGTAAGCAGTTATTATTGCGGTTCTCTCAGGCCTAGCCACCTGTGAGCTTGGACTTCTCTCAGGCCTAACCACCTGTGAGCTCGGAAGCTTTGCCCCATTTCCTCACTTGTGTTCCTTGGCCCCTTCCCACCTTCTCTTCTGTGTTTCATTTTTTCTTCCAAGAAGCCCTAACTTGGCATCAGAGGCCTCCGATCATATTCCCTGCACTTAGGCCCTGTCGCCCCTCATGCACCTGGACCTGTTGCCCTGCCCCTGTGCCTTTCCTCCGTCCTCCTCCCTCCCTCATCCTGAGAGCTGCCCTTCCTTCCATCACAGCCTCCCCGGGGCCCTCTGCTTTCCTCCTTGGGCACTATCTTTCTGAGCCTCTCCTGGGAGTTCTTTATTTGGTCTTTTGACCTTTCCTGTGAACCATAAGTCTGATTTTTCTCAACAGCTAAACTGTAAGCTCCTTGAGTGTAGGCTCTGTCTTTGCATCCCTTACTATTTGCCAGGCCATACAATAGGTACTTAATAAAGTCATTTGCAAGGGTACATTTACAATAGGTACTTAATAAAGAAAGAGAGGGGGACAGGGAGAAATAAAGAGGGGGAGGGCTGCCTTTCTCTTTGGATACTGTGTCATTGGAGGGAATCCTAGTCTGGCAGATTCCTTAGTAGGAATTGAAACCCCAATGAGGTTACTAAAAAATATGAGGGGATTCTGAGAAGAGCTTGGACCAAAATCTTGATTTTCTTTAGCTTCTTTATTATTATTATTATTATTAAATGTTACTGGCCATTTTCATAACAGGAAAACTTTTGAGTAATTCAACTAATTCAATGTTTTTATTCACCAAGCTAGTTTGAGAGATTTAAAGCTGGTTTTGACTTTCCTCTGTTTAAAAACCTGATGTCTTATATCCAGCTGCTCTTAAGAAAGAGTCTCTGGAGCAGACAGCGAGGGGAGCTGCACTCAGCCACTAGAATGCAGATGACAGCTGATGGGCACAGGGCCTCAGGTGTAGCCTTAAGTACGTTCTGTTTGATTTGCGGAAAGTTCAGAAAACCTCAGCCTTTCCTCAGAAAACCTAGAAGATGCAATGCCCTGGCTGATTTGGCCTCGTATGTCTTACCTGTGAGCAAGTCAGCTCCTGGGAACACCTCTCATATTTATTTATTTATTTATTTGTGAGACGGCGTTTCCCTCTTGTCACCCAGGCTGGAGTGCAATGGCGCAATCTTGGCTCACTGCAACCTCCGCCTCTCAGGTTCAAGCGATTCTCCTGCCTCACCCTCCCGAATAGCTGGGATTACAGGCATGTGCCACCACGCCCGGCTAATTTTTGTATTTTTAGTAGAGACAGGGTTTCTTCATGTTGGTCAGGCTGGTCTCGAACTCCCGACCTCAGGAGATCCACCCGCCTCGGCCTCCCAAAGTGCTGGGATTACAGGCGTGAGCCACCACGCCCGACTGGGAACACCTCTCATTTTTAAGATTCCAGTGATGCCACCACCTGACATGTTTGTAACCACACAGTCCCAGGATTCAGGCCATGGGATGCTTGCTAATGAGGCCTTGGGGAGCTGAATTTTAGAGGCTGAGAATCCTCCGATGGGGTCAGGGAGGAAAGGATTTGGCTGCACCTCCAGCCTGCACAGGGCTCCCCGCCAGCCTGGCCCAGTCTCCTCTATACTATGCTCTAGCTTATAAAGCCTCCTGGTTCCACCGACCACCTGGCAGGGCCAGCCTCTTTGTTCTCCTTGCCTTGTGGGGATAGGGAGAACCTCACTGGGTCACCCAGTCCGAGGAGATCCAGATGTGGAGTCAGCCCCCATTCTACTCTGCAACCCCACCCTCCCCACCTGGGGGAGTGACAGTCTCTGGGACCTGACCTCGGTGACTCCACCTAACCCCAAACTTCAAGACCATCGGTGGCTGAGAGACCAGGATCTCCTTCCCACAAAGCCACATGTTCTACTGACCAGACCTGGGATCTGAGGTTTGAGATAGTCGCTCTGCCCTCTCAGGTCACCACTCCAACTTTTCCTCCAGCTGTCCCTTTTTCCTACCCACGGCCCTGTGCTTATTCAGGCCCAAAGCCAGGGAGACCACAGGTCAGGATCTCACAAGTATTGCAACCCTCGTGCTTTCTTGTCCTATATAAAATTCTCCATCTTTTCCTAAAACCGATTTATTTTCCGTCTTATTATCCTGAAATGTGATTGGTCTTCTCTTCTTTCAAGTATAGCTATTCACTGGCCCATACTTATAAACTTGTACCCTTCAAAAGGATTTCTTGTTCTCTTTCTTATATTTTCTCATTTTACCTTGAAAGTACAGTCTTATCTTCTGTATTCCCACAGGCGGTGCTGAGAACACCCAATAAGGTGCACCCAACAGAAACGTTTTATGCTCTTTGTCAGTTGCTTGTTTGGGGAGAAGGGGCCACAGATGAGTAAATTTTCTTGACTTTTCTTGCTTAACTATGCGTAACTTTCTGGGGTGGGTTTTCATTATAACATGAATCTCTGCAAACATTTTTCAGCACCAGCCAACAAAGATACATACACGGTCTTCTCTTCTCCCTTTTGCACAGTGATCTTGGCAGCACCCACTTTGGGGAGGGTTGGATTTATCACATTGTTATTCCAAAGAAACTTGACTTTCTCAATTGTTCCAACATCCAGCTTTGCATCAAACTCATAGGAGTGGGTTGAGCCTGGTGTGAGAATCCCCCTTGAAATAGAGAAACATAAACATCCCTGTTCATGGAAATGAGTTCTAATGACCATACAATGCCAGGCTGCTGTTTTCTATTCTAGATTAACAAGATTATTTTTCTGAATTAATTTCCAAATAAAGGATGGAGACATGGAAAAGCCAGCAATATGCAAGCACTGTTCAAACTATGGTTTTCAAAACTCAAGTTTTAAAATTGAATGCTTTCTTATAGAAAATAAAACAGAATTCCTGCATATCATTTTATATTTTTGGAAGAATTATTTGTACAGTAACAAATTAGCCACATGGTATGGCACAATAAGCATGTGTTATTGTACTAATCAGAAAACAGGATATCTGAAGTAATATTAGATTTACGTTTAAGAAAAAACATCTATTACGAGAGAAAGAGGCCAGGCGTGGTGGCTCACACCCATAATCCCAGCATTTTGGGAGGCCAAGGTGGGCAGATCACTTGAGGTCAGAAGTTCGAGACCAGCCTGGCCAACATGGCGAAACTCCCTCTCTACTAAAAATACAAAAATCAGCCAGGTGTGGTGGCCCATGCCCATAATCTCAGCTACTTGGGAGACTGAGGCACGAGAATTTCTTGAACCCGGGAGGCGGAGGTTGCAGTGAACCAAGATTGTGCCACTGCACTCCAGCCTAGGTGACAGAGCAAGACTCTTTCTTAAAAAAAAAAAAGAGAGAGAGAGAAAGAACGAAATGCCTAGGTTTATAGCAGAAAAGAAAAAATATTAGCAGAAGTCTGCAATTAACTTCAGTCATAAAGTCATATAGTCCTGCGTTGCTTAACAATGGAGATATGTTCTGAGAAATGTGTCCTTACGTGATTTAATCATTGTGTGGACATCATAGCATGTACTCACACAAACGTAGATGGCACAGCCTACTACATACCTAGGCTGTATGGTACAGCCTATTGCTCCTAGGTTACAAACCTGTACTACACATTACTGTATTGAGTTCTGTAGATGATTGGAATACAGTGGTAAGTGTTTGTGTATCTAAACACCCAAACATAGAAAAAGTACAGTAAAAATATGGTATTACAAACTTATAGAGCAACTCTTGTGTATGTTGTCCATCAACTAAAATGTTGTTATATGTTACATGACTATAATTATAAACCATTGACATATGAAGAGATGATAAGTGTTCAAATTAAGTGTGTGGTTTGAAGACTGTGTATATCATCAAATGAGACGTAGTATTAAAATGGCAAATTACCTGAAGATACTGTACTGCTGAGTGTTTCCCTTATTTCCAAACAAAGCAACTTTGATCTGACCAGTGGCTGTTCTTCCAGACAGTGTGATGGAAACCCCATATCTCCAGCCTGCACAGGAGATGGAAGAGTTCAATTTATTCACATACAAATTAGGTAGCCTACATCCCAGACTTGTCTCCTTCTCTTACTCTGAGGCATCAAAGCATAAGAAATTATTTTTAACAAAATTATTATTATTTTTTTTGAGATGGAGTCTCACTCTGTAACCCAGGCTCTAGTGCAGTGGTGTAATCTTGGCTCACTGCAACCTCTGCCTCTCCGGTTCAAGTGATTCTCATGCCTCAGCCTCCCTAGTAGCTGGGACTACAGGCACGCAACACCACACCTGGCTAATTTTTGTATTTTTAGCAGAGACAGAGTTTCACCATGTTGGTCAGGCTGGTCTCCAACTCCTGACCTCAAGTGATCCACCCGTGTCAGCCTCCCAAAGTGCTGAGAATACAGGCATGAGCCATCACGCCCAGCCAAAGTATAAGAAATTCTACTTGTTAATCTACAAATCAAACAAGGCCTTAAGGAGAAGTATATATTCAGCAATATCCCCCTCTAGAACTGCATTGCCCAGTGAGGAGGTCACTAGCCACATGTGGCTGCTTACATTTAAATCCAAATTAAATACAATTACAAATTTAGTTTCTCAAACTCATTAGCTGTGTTGCAAATGTTAAATTGCCACATAAGGCTAATGGCTACACAGAATATGCCCCTCATTGCAGAAAGTTCTATTGGCCAGCTCTGCCCCAGAATGACAGTACAGTGAGTTAAGGTGAAGAGAGAGGGAATAGGGGCTTGTCTCCACATTTGGGAAGGTAGCTCAGGAGTGCAGCCTGGCAACCACCCCGAGGGCGGGGACTGTGTTTCATCTTTGCTCCCCAGGGCCCTGGGCAGTCTCTAGCACAGACTAGGTGCATGAGCAGTTGTCACTTAGGCTTCTACCTGAAGTGCTGTCCCAGGGCCTGCATGCACACACACACACAAATACAAATGCATATGCACAAACATATGCATGTGCGTGCACACACACAAATACATCTACACAAACATACGCATGTGCGTGCACACACACAAATACATCTACACAAACCTACGCATGTGCGTGCACACACACAAGTACATCTACACAACAAGTACATCTACACAAACCTACGCATGTGCGTGCACACACACAAGTACATCTACACAAACCTACGCATGTGCGTGCACCACACACACAAGTACATTCTACACCACAAACCCTACGCATGTGCGTGCACACACACAAGTACATCTACACAAACCTACGCATGTGCGTGCACACACACAAGTACATCTACACAAACCTACGCATGTGCGTGCACACACACAAGTACATCTACACAAACCTACGCATGTGCGTGCACACACACAAGTACATCTACACAAACCTACGCATGTGCGTGCACACACACAAGTACATCTACACAAACCTACGCATGTGCGTGCACACACACAAGTACATCTACACAAACCTACGCATGTGCGTGCACACACACAAGTACATCTACACAAACCATACGCATGTGCGTGCACACACACAAGTACATCTACACAAACCTACGCATGTGCGTGCACACACACAAGTACATCTACACAAACATACGCATGTGCGTGCACACACACAAGTACATCTACACAAACATACGCATGTGCGTGCACACACACAAATACATCTACACAAACATGCATGTGTATGTGCACACACACACAAACCTACACACATATAACCACACACATACACATAGACACCCACATACGAATACACACACATGCACCCACATATACATAAACGTACAGACACACATGCATACATATATAAACACATGCATACACACAAAGGTACATGCACACATAAACACACTCACGCATGCATGCATACACCCACACATGTGCACAGATGTACATTAATATACACACACATGATTCTTGCCTAACTCCTATTCATCTTTCATATATTCAGAGACCTTGTCCCTGACCCTCCTTCTGGTCAGGGCCAGGTTCCCTGTCCCATAATGTCATGGCAACAGCCACCAATCCCAACACGTTTGTAGTTGCTTGCTCAGTTTCTCTCTTCAGGTGGATTATTGATTTCATAAGAGGAGTGTCTTGTTTGTCCCCGCATCCTCAGTGTCTAGCATAGTCTGTGGCCCATAAATAATTTTTGATTGAGGAATGAATACATGATTTTTGAGTGTTTAATTTGTTGTTGAAATATTGGCAAGTATTTCATGTATCACAACATCAGTGGAAGGATTGATTAACCAATGTCTTCTTACAAAAAAATACAGACTGATATATATGGTGATAGAAATGTTCTGTATCTTGATTTGGAGGTGGTTACACAACTATTCATTTGTCCAAACTCATAGACGTGTATGTTAAAAAGCGTGCATTTTGCCGAATATAAATTATACCTCAATAACTCTGACTTTAAAAACTATGTAAGATGTGTTATATATTTATATGAATATATAACCTCTGTCTTTACTGGGCCACCTCCTATGGAACTGTCATAGGGCAAGTTGGTACTAAGTGGTCCAAATATGCCCAGTCTCTACCCTGTGTCTTAGTCCATTGTCTTAGTTCATTCAGCTGGTTTTAGAGAGAAACCATCCTTCCCCCTGATTCCCACCTGCACTCCACCAGCAAGGCAGCCCCTGGGCATCAGGGATGCATAGACAGAGGGGAAATCACAGTATGGAGCTGAGCTTCTTAAGGGACACAGCCCAGCAAAGAGCTGGTACCAATGACATCTTTGCTGAATGAAGAGAAGAACAGGTATGTCTGATGCGGCCTTAAAAAGGAAAGAAACAATGAACTGTGGAGTGGTAAAAATTCAGGGTAGCTGGTCACAAGGATGTGCAAATTGGCCTCATCCTATTAATTATACTGTTTGCTTGCTCTCATTTCATGCCAGAGAAATACAAGGGCTTGCTCTCATTTCATGCCACAGAAATAGAATGGAAGAAATGCACACTCTTTCTAAATCCTCAGTTGACTTGTAACTGGGATAGTTTGGGTGAATGTGTCCATTTCTAAGATAATCAAAATGTATGCACAAATATTTCAGGTTGAAAGCAAGCCCCTCATTTGTAACAGAAACTATATACTTCCTTTACATGGGCAGGTAGTCAAAGTGCAACTTACGAGCGAAATTGCTAGCCTCTCCTGTGTTCAAGAAGAATTTCTGCTGCTCTTCACTTGTCCTGCCAGCAAATTTATCAGCATAGTGACCCATCTGTGGGCATCCTTGATCCGGACAGGGGAAGCACTTGTCCTAATGAGAAGAGATAGATGGGACTGTAAGGAGAATTTGTATTTGTATGATTGATACATCTGAGGGAGCAGACACTCAATTTTCCTACAGCCTAAGCGTTCTCCTTTGTGACAGCAAGGGGGTTGGGGCAGATGATCTCTAAGTTACCTTCATCTGGATCAGGGTGCCCAACTTTTAGGCACAACACATTAGAATTATTTGAGGAGCTTTAAAAAGTACTGATGCCCAGGACCTAGGTTAGATCAATTATACCTTCCGTTAAATGGTGAGGTGGTGAATGATAAGCAGCCAACTCTCTGGGACAAAAACCCTGGATTGCAGTGCCTACCAATTTCAGTGGTGTAAATACTCTGACTATGGCCAATTTCAGGCTACCAACATGATGTCTCTGAATGTGGAGTTGGGAAGGGATACTCACACTGGCTCTCGTGAGCCAGAATAGGCAGTCTCTAGCCTGTCATTCTTCCATCTCTCCCCTTGTTGCCAGTCTGGCATGTAGGACTCCAGCATCCACCTTGCTTTCTCTCTGGTGTGAATTATTCTCTGTACATTCTTCTACTCTTGCCCTGCCCGTGCCAGAAATGTGCATTCCTGTGTTTTCTAAACTCTCTCATTTTTAAGCCAGATTCAGAGGTCGCCTCCTGCAGGAAGCCTCTCTGTATCATTGAATTGACTGCTCTTTCTCTCTGATTTCCCAGTTTTCCTCTGCCACATGACTCATTTCATCGAAAATTTTAGCCACCTCCTGCCTAAAGTTGTTTACGTTTTTTCCTCTTCCACTCCACAGGACCATGAACTCTGAGGGATAATGCAAAACATGTAGTGAGAAGGCATTGCAAATCCCAAACACAGCAGGACAACAGTCCCATAGTGGGGTGATGCCCATTGCTGGAGGCAGGACAATAGCTTACAGACTCAAAGGACTTGTAGGAAGTGCAGGGGTATGCAGCAAACCCATCGGGGTCGAGGATGCTTTCCAAGTAATACTTGTAGCTTCTTAGGTGATTGCAAGCCACAAAATCTCGGGTTCCTGGGAAAACAAATAAGGAAGCCTGAACAGGTGGTTGGGGGGCTGAAACAGCTTCTCTGCCTCTCTCTCCAAATGAGATGGTTCCAAAGTAGGACCATACTTTCAGAAACTTAAGATAAATCCAAAATTCAGCCACAATAATGACAATTAACATATAGAGGGTGATTTATGTGTACCAGGCAACGTTCTGATCACTTTACATGCCTTGTCCATGTAATCCTCAGTCTTCCTAGGAGGTGGGTACTATATCATTCCTATTTATACATTATCATCTCATCCCTATTTTACAGAAAGAACTACAGAGTATAGGCTCAGATTTACAGTTTAGCTAATAGGTGGGAAAGCTGGTAATTAAACCCATGCCCATCTGGTCTTGAGCCCATCCCTCCAACCTTTGTGCCATCTCATGTCCCAGGCACCATGCTGGAGGTCCTCAAAGACATGACTAGATGTGACATGACCAAGCCAATGTGAGGACATTTCCATGCAGCAGTTATACAAATAAAAACAAGGACTGTATAACTTTAGGTGGCTTTGTATGAGCTTCACTCTCATAGTGTCTTGATTTTCCTTGCAACCTTTCTTGGCTCCCTGCAACTCCTGCCAAGTGACAAATGTTACATTGCACCTTCTAGACCTGGCCTGAGCTTGCTGGGCCATTACTGATGAAGAGTTTCAGTTGCCCTATGCATGCAGACCCTCACGAGGCTGTGACAGACAAACTGCTTATGTCCTCATTTTAAAAAATTATTATTATTATTTTTTGAGATGGAGTTTCACTCTTGTTGCCCAGGTTGTGGTGCAATGGCATGGTCTTGGCTCACTGCAAACTTTGCCTCCTGGGTTCAAATGATTCTAATACCTCAGCCTCTCGAGTAGCTGGGATTGCAGGCACACACCACCACGCCTGGCTAAGTTTTGTATTTTTAGTGGAGATGGGTTTTTACCATGTTGGCCAAGCTGGTCTCAAACTCCTGACCTCAAATGATCTGCCTGCCTTTGCCTCCCAAAGTGCTGGGATTATAGCACGAGCCATCATGCCCGGCCTGTCTTCATTCTTAATATTTGCTTTGATGGCATCCATATATGCCAAGCCATTTTGATGAAATTCAATAAAAATCTTTACTCATTACATTTGGTCAGACTACTAAGGGTTTTTTCCTGTGTGGTGCCACATGATAAGTCTGGATGAAAACTTCACCTGTCCATTGTCCTTTTGGCCTCATTAGATACAGAGTCAGAGCTGTGTCTGCAGGATGCCCTTTCTTCCCAAGTGCGCTAGATCAACAATAAAGAATAACCACGTCCAATAACAGTCTCCCATCTCACCTTCCTTAACTGTGACTGCTCCTCATTCCTACTCAACATAGGTGAGCAATGGCTCTCATTGTGCAAATAGGCTTGCTGTGGGAACTATTGGGAATATTCTCATTCTAGCTACTGAAGGGGAGCTGATTACATCATTTTGAACCTTATCACTGATTCCCGAGAGAGAATTTGTAGCAAAAGTCTCTTAGTTACAGTCAGGATGTTTGCTCTTATGCTATTTCCTGGCTCTATGGAGTCATAGCTTTAAGTGACAGTTTTATAATTCTTTGTTGCTTGTATGTGCCAGGACATCCACAGCAATGTTTTAAGGAAGCACAAAAGCAGTAAAGCTGAGATATAACAAATACTATGTAGCTACATTTTTTTCCGAAATAATCCTCAGAAGAGGGAATTGTATATTTTTAAAGACAGTTTCATTTTTATTCTTAAGATTTGCTATACAAAGGTATTGGTCGCTCCAGGAAAGCACCCGCCCTGTTCCCCTCACCCCACCACGACTTTACCTGCCCAGATGCCATCTAGATCCACAATCTGAGACAGGGCATTCTTCTTGCATCCCGGCATGTTCTCTCCTCCGTTAGGGAAGAAGTCAAGATGGCCCATCTGTTGATTTGTTCCAAAACCTGAAATGTTTAGAACAGCAATGAGCTTTCTGTTATGCAGGACTTTCATGCTTAAAACACAGTCATGCATGCTCACAGCTGGAGCATTGTGGGCCTCACCCAAGAATGGGATCAGGGGAGCTGCATCCGTGTGAATCACATCAACAAAGTCAGCATCAGAGGGATCTAGTCGCACCTCTTCAGGAGTACCTTCAAAACTTGCTTCTACAGGATCCAACCCTAAAAGAGATGATCAGCACTGCAGAACAATAGACCTGACTGTAGATGTCAGCAGCACCAAGGTGTACAGCTGCCCAGGCTATGCACTACCCAAATCAAGGGGTACCATGCCCCGGAGTTGTGCAGTGCCATGACCGTGGGTGCTAAATATGAGGACACAGAGTCTGAATGTGGTTCATTACAAAGGGGTTCCCAGTGGCATGGATAGAGGAGGGCAGATGAGCAAAGAAATTTAGGTTTTGTTTAAGCAAGGATTTTTTCCACACCAGAGTCTCCCATTTCCTTGTGTATCTTTCTTCTTCAACATCCTTTCTCTCCTCAAGTTTGTAGAAAGAAAGGGGTGAAGCAATGTGGTATCATAGTTAAGAACACAGGTTCTGGGTCTAGGTTGCCTGGCTCCAAATTCCTACTCAGCTGCTTTTGGGGCAAGACGCATGACCTTGAGCATGTCACTCTACCATTTTGTGCTTCAGGTTTTTCATTTTACAAAATGGGGTGATAATGGCATCTGTTTGATATGGTTGTTATGGATTAAATGAGTTGCTATGTAGCACTTAGCACAGTGCCTGATGTATACTCATGGGTGTATACGTAAGATATTAATATTTCTTATTTTTGACAATTTTCCTTCTTAGCAGGGATCTTGGATTTGTTAATAGTTTTTGAAGGCTTGGTTAGAGCAGCTGATAAACAGGACATGAATGTAGTTGCCAGCTGAAAATAACAGACAGATTTCTTATAAAGAGTTGCTTGAACCAAACATCAGCAAAACTAGGTCTGGATCTGGGTTCTCCCACTGACGGGTTGTGTGGCTTTGGGCAAGTTATTTGCATCCCTGAGCCTTTTTCTTCAGTTCTGAGAATTATATGAGAAAATAAAAATTTTTGTGCAATATTTGGGATAAGCAGGCACTTAATCTATGCTTACTATAATAATTATAATAACATTATTATTATGATCACCATCATATTATGTAGATATATCTTGTTGCTGTTATAATTCAAATGCTTTGACTGGGTTAAAAGAATGCTTTTGGCCATAACGGTGACTGGGTTTCTTCCACCAGTAGAAGCAGTAGGAAACAATTTTTAGATTCTATTCTGCCCTTGATTCCAAAGAGAAGGGAGAAAGACTTGGCAATATAGACCCTCCTTGATTATGTTTCGCTTATGTTGATACTAGTCTCACTGTGCGTTTTCCTGGGTGCCCAGTCCTGCTGAGAAACCAACACCACCAGAAAACTGGGACTTAGAAAGGAGGCGCTAGGACAGAGGTGGAAGAAGCAAAGAGGAACAAAATCACCCTTCCCTTGCCATGAAGGTGGCACATGAGCTTCTTGGGGGGCTCCCTAAAATGTTCTGTGTAGGCTCCAAGCAGCTCTCTCACAGCCAAGGGGGCAGTCTCCTTCAGGGGAGCTCTGAACTGGGCTGCATTCTTGAGACCTCATTCTGGGGTTTCTGGGGACAAAACTGGGGCCCTGCCCCTTGGGCCTTACCTGTAATCCTGCTCAGGCCCGGAGTCTTGCTCCCTGCCTCTCCAGCCACGTGGGCTCCCAGGCTGTGGCCGATGAGGTGAACTTTGGAAGGTGGATAGCTGTACTCTGTCTGGAGAGGGGGGATTGTATTTTCAGGACTTTTTTTTTTTTTTTTTTTTTGCTGTAGTTTTTCTAAAATGCCAGCCTGATGGATATTACTCCTCTGCTGAAAAACTTCCATGCCTCTCATTGCCCTCAGGATCAAGCCCAAACTCATTTTGAAGGCCTCAGAGGTTTCCTAACTCATCATCTATTTTTCTAGACTCTTCAGCCAAACCCTTTGTTGAACTTTCAGACCCTCGATTTACATCATAGCCTCTCACCTCTGGGCCTGGTTCGTTCTTCTCTTCCTGTTGTTGTCTATCCCCCAAGCACTTGCCAGCTAACATCAACAGACTAGCCTTCAGCTCTCAATTTAGACGTCTCTTCCTTGGGAGGGGAGACCTCCTTAATCCCTTTCCCTGCCCCGTCAGTGTGGATTAGCTGCCTTCTATGTGTTCCTGCAAAGCTCCTACCCTCCCCATCAGAACCCACTAATAGATCACACTCTGCTGGCATTACAAGTCTTCACTGCAAGCTCCTTGACGGTCTGGGACCTCATGTGTCTTTTTTACTTCCTCACACACTCCTGACATTGTGCTCCAAAAAAACTGGTGAACGAGCCAATCAAATAGAGCTATGAGGTATTTGCACGTGTTGATCTCAGAGACATTCATCCAAAGGCACTTCGTTTATTGGTCTCCCATACTTCTTGTACAAATACCATGGGTTTTGATTTCTGCAGGAGTGCAGAAGTTGGTTATTTTGTAGACCCTTTAGCTCTAAGAGAAATGGCTCTCGTCATTACCTAGTACAGAAAATAGTCACAAAGGATTAGAAACTTAAAGAATTAAAGACTGAAAGAGTTAGCTAAAATGAAACAGGGTAGGAAGAAATAAGTGAAATGATTGTGGCAGAAGGAATTCCCCAACATCAACAGCACCCACACCACCAGGCCAGTAGTTGACACATGCCAATTGCACGTACTGTCCGTTGGCTCTCTGTGGCTCTCTCTGGCCATGCTGTGTTTCACCCCAAACAGAGCCCACCTGCTGTTGTGGGTGAATTCTGAAGCTAGATGGTCTGGATCAAAAGGCACCTCTCCTATTCATTTGCTTTATGACTTTGGGAGCAAACTAGTTAAACTTTCTGGGCCTCACTTTCTTTATCTGTAAATTGAAGATGATTTAAAAACAAAAAACACTTTCTAAGTGTTAGCAATTCTCATTTTTGCTTCCACTGGCGTGTCATTATGAAGGCAAATTTCAGAGTTTTAGAAGATCTGGATATCAATTTTTTCTCCTTCTTTAATCCATAACTCTCAGCTGCATCTCTACCAGAGACCAGCAGTCACTACTTCCCTCCTCACATAGCCCAGCCAGCTGACTCACCGAGAGGATGTCGAGCATCTGGGCCACCTGGGCGCCCACCACTCGCGCATTGTTGGCGGCCTGTGTGTAGGTGGTTTGGGAGCCCTTCTTCCAGTCCACGCAGATGCAATTCACCTCCTCCACCTTGAACAGGTTCTGGTATTGGGGAGATAATGGGGTTGGGGAGATCATGGGAGCAGGGGAAACCTTATCCAGCCAGGGCTCAGAAATGGTCACTTCTCTCTCCTAGCTAGGGCATGAGATAAACTAGACTCTATTAGGGAATCCTGTTGGTAATTAAGAGTTATCCTTCAAGGCGAATGCTATGAGAAAGGCAAACTGATTTCCCCTCCAGCTTGCAGATTAATTGGAAGCTGGCCACTCTCTGATTTCCTTCAACCAAATTCAGTAAGGTTGATTAGGAAGGGAAAAACAATTGCATCATGAAAAGAGTCCTGTTTCGAAAAGGAAAAGGCGTAGGTGCAGTCTCTGGTGGCCAGTGTCAAAATGACCTTGCGGATTTGACTATGAGGCGTCCTTTCAGGCTCTTGGCGATGCCCCAGCCTGCTGGGCGTTTACAGAGCTGGAAAGTGAGAGAGAAGCTTCACTATTTTTATAGTCACGATGACACAGTACTTCATGGAGAAGACACATGTAGATATTTGAAAAATAGAACTGTACTGATTTAAAAGAGATTGAAGAATTCTGGAAGGAAAATGTCTTCCTGGATGTCGAAGGAGCTGATATATCTTTAGGAGTTCTGCCAGGCAGTACATATTACCAGCTTGAATTTAAAAGGGTACTATAAATTTAAAATCCACTTGGAATCATTCCACATATAGTATACTAATATGTGTGATCACTTGCACAGAGATAGTGGGAGTTTTCTCCTCAGGACTTTTCTTTTCTTTTTTGAGACAGTCTCGCTTTGTCACCCAGGCTGGAGTGCAGTGGCGCAATCTCAGCTCACTGCAACCTCTGCCTCCTAGTTTAAGCAATTCTCTTGCTTCAGCCTCCTGAGTAACTAGGACTACAGGCGCCTGCGACCACACCTGGCTAATTTTTGTATTTTTAGTAGAGACAGCATTTCACCATGTTGGTCAGGTTGGTCTCCAACTCCTGACCTCAGGTGATCCACCCACCTCGGCCTCTCAAAGTGCTGGGATTACAGGCATGAGCCCTGGCACCTGGCCAGGACATTCATTTTCAAGCTATCCTGAGGAATCTTTCACAAGCCTGGATAATTTGGAGCATAAACTGCATCAATAAGATGCTTATTAATGATAGGACAGGAAAGGTGCCAAGAGTGAAATGCCTGCTAAACCAAGGCCAAGTGCAGAATGACTTTAATTTTCTGGGTTTGTAATTTTTCCTTTTGACATTACCGGTTGGTGTTATTAATGTATGTGTGGAAGGCAGGCTCCTGGGGTAAATTCTTAGATGACAGAAAAATCTATTGAACCAGTCTCCACATAAAGAGAAAGGATGACGGTATATTGTGGTATATCGCACGCACGTGTGTGTTTGTGTGCATATGCACAAGTTGCACACATGTCCGTGTGTGTATACACATGTGTGTATTCTTCTGTTGCTCTCCTTCTGACCTATATTACATGTAGGTGGCACTTTCTACTCTGTCATTGTAGTAACTCAATTTTAGTTTTCTGTTTTTCTTTTCTTTTCTTTTCTTTTTTTTTTTTGAGATGGAGTCTTGCTCTGTTGCCCAGGCTGGAGTGTAGTGGCACAATATTGGCTCACTACAACCTTTGCCTCCTGGGTTCAAGCAATTTTCCTGCCTCAGCCTCCCAACTAGCTGGGACTACAGGCGCCTGCCACCACACCAGGCTGATTTTTGTATTATTAGTACAGATAGGGTTTCACTATGTTCACCAGGCTGGTCTCGAACTCCTGACCTCAGGTGATCCACCCACCTCGGCCTCCCAAAGTGCTGAGATCAATTAAATGGTCACAGAAACACATGTCAGCCTCTCAGGGATATGGGAAAGATTTGAACAAAAAAAGCCCTGTAGTCCCTTGTTTATGGGATACAAAGTACTCTCACTAAAAACGGAAGCAGAAAACATCGGGCCTTGGTTTAACCGGAAATTAGATAGTAGGAGTATTTTTCTAATAGCGAATGTGGTTGCTTCAGGGTGCAGACGTAGTGCAGAAACATGGAAAGGCATTTTAATTTTTGTGAAGAGAAGCATTTTAATTGCATAAAGTTACCTAATATGTAAAGTTTTCTTGAGTGCATAAAGCGAGGCAGAGATGTCAGCAGGAAGTGTTGGCCTCAGTTGGCCACAGGGATCAGAGCCGGCTCCTACCTTGCACATGTCTATCACCCAGCGCTCATCTCCTTTGTCTATGAAGCCGTGGATGATGAATCGGGTCTTTCTGTCTGTTTGAAAATTTGATGCCTCAATTGTTGATGGATCAGAGGGGAGGAGAATCTGTGACAAATGCAGAAGTGCTGCATGTTTTCGCAGCCCAGCCTCACAGGCCTGTTTTTCTCCTTCCTCATCTCCGCCTGTCCCAATGCCTCTACTTTTCAAAGCTTAGCAAAAAGCCACCTCTTCCATGAAGCCCACCCCGATCTCCCTTTCCCTGCCCCATCTCTCCAGGTGAGTAATCACTGCTTCTACTAGGCCTGGATTCTGGTTTGAGTTCTTACCTTCCCTGTGGTTCTTGTTAGACAGTAAGCTGTTTGCTCCAGACCAGAATCACACAGCAGCTAGAAGTTCTGGCAAATGTGAACCATTCATTCATTCAAACCAACATTACTAATGACCTGCTCTGTCTAGGTCTAGCCAGGTCTGGGGGGCAGCTTGAGGGATGGGGTGGGGCATGGTGGAGGAAGGGGGCACAGAGATAAGGTGCAGGGTGGGCATAGCCCCGTGCCCAGTTACAGTGACATTAACATGACAGAGGTCTCACTTGAAAATTGTTTGGGTTTTCATTGGTGTATAGCAGGAAGCGGGTGCCGATCTTCTCAGGGGTCCAGGGGAGAATTTTTAGGGGCCTGATTGCTGTCCCGCCCCAGGGCTCAGTGTCAGAAAAGCACCCGAGGTCCTCATAGCAAACTTCTTTTCCTGCAGAGAAAGGTTGAATCTGCTTAAGGATTTGCTCTCGAGGTGTGCTCTGGGGTGTCACTGCTGTTCGGGCCTGGTCACTCTTCTGTTCAGGGACAGTCTGAAGACAATGGATGAAACTACTGCAAACCCTCCCACTCTCTTCTTGACCCCAGTGCCCACCTACTGGCCTGGTAGCAGTCCTATTGAATCCCACAGGGACACCACTGGTACCTTTGTTTAGAACTACCATCAAAACTGGAAAGTTCTAAGCCCCATTCCTAGTTCTTCTGATACATTTATTTGACTAATGTGATAATGGGCATTGATAAGTCAATATGTTAACTCAGGCAGATGTTTCATGCTTTACTTAGAAATGTCTGGCCTTGGGCTCCCCGAGCATGAAGGTAGGCCACTGGGGGGATCCCCAGAAACAGGTATCACTTAAACTGCCCAGCCTACTCTCCCAGGCAGCCCACCTCTTCTCTCTGGTACCCTGGAGCTGCTGGGAGCCCCGCCACAGTTAAAGCTTTCTCTGGCCAGGGCTGAGAGCTTAAGTTTAAGCCCTTCCTACGGGGCAGGAGTGGTGTTTCTTACCTTTGGCTGCTCCCAGCAGGAAAAGTGTGATTGTCCAGAAGATCAGCATCTACAATAAATTCAAACATAACTCAGTTTCACCAGGCATTGCCAGAGCAGTGAGCACCGACGCCCTTGACTTCAGTACCGTTTGCCTCACCTGTACGTCACAGCAGGGGGAAAGGAGTGGCAAAGGTGGCTTACCCTGTCTAATGTTCCAGATGTTCTCTCCCACCGGATCGAGTATCCAGGCCTTTCTAAAAATATATATTCCAGCCTTATCATTTGGACACTACTTCAAGAAAACAGCAGGTGATGATAACCCATGCTGTGTGCGCTTAATACTTTAATCTGCCCGAATACACAAAACAAGATTAATAATAGCTGTCAAGTCTTCCCACAAGTCTGGAAAGATGACAGAATGCTTGGTTAAAACAGGGAGTGAGGTCACCAACCTTTCACCTATATAACTATGCATGTACTTGTGAGCTGAATGGGCCCCCACTTTTCAATTTTCTATTTCATCACCAAATAGTTTACAAGTCTCAATAGGGACACAGCAGCAAACCCTAAAAATAGAGGGTAGTATTTCTCACTTAGAATAGATGAAAATACCCGCAAATAGTTGAAAGTAAAGAGAAATCTCTGATTAAGAAAACCTCTTCTCTCTCTCTTTCTGTCTCTCTCTCTTTCTCTCTCTCTCAATTTTCCTCTCTCTCTTTCAAAGACTAGGAATACTGGGCATCTGCGCTTTGGAGAAAAATTCAACAGCCCCCACAGTAGCCTCTGACCACAATCCTCCCATTAACTGCCTATTCCAGTTATCTATTGCTATGCAATGAACCAATCCAAAAGACAACACTTTAAAAACGATAGCAATGATTGCATTATGCCACTATCATCTCAATAGTTGGGTTCAGGAGCCCCCAGAGGCCCATGTCATGTCTGTTGAATTTCCCCAGGTCCTCTGGAGGTTGCACACCTGCAGATTATTCTTGGCCCCTGTAAGGCCGTCATGATATACCCAGAGATCTGTGCATCTGTGAGCAGCCCAGCCAGTTCACACAGCAAGGCAGATAAGCCCTCACAAGGCAAACACCATGAGTGCCTCTCCTTGCCAAGTTAAATATGCCTCAGTATAAAAGTTCTCAATCTTGAATAACTAAAACGCAAGGGTGCAGGCCTAAGGGCCTTCCTCTTAATAAAATGGAAAGGAATCCTGGAATCGTAAAGAATAGCTGCCAACTATTACGAAGTCTTGCCAAGTACAGTCAGAATTCCACGCACCTTACGTGTATTACCTAATTAGTCTTAAAACAACCCCACAAGCCTCTCTTTATAAATCTGGGAACTGAGGCACAGAGAGATAAGTAAATTGCCTAAAAAGTCACACAACTGATGAGTGATGAGGTAAGATTTGAATTCAGGCTGTACAGAGTGAAATAAGGAGTGTTGAATATTCAGTTGTGCTGAGCTAGTAATCAGCAAACTTCAGTGGATGTCAACCATGTAGAACAAGAGGGATACAAAGAATGAGCCAAAAGAGAAAATGTGAAAACCCTTTTGGCCCCTGACCTGTTTCCTCCCCACTTCCAGGCTTCCCCAGGATGGAAAAACAGGCTAGACTTGGTGATGGATTGGGAAGGTGATCACAGTTCTTCATCCCTTCCTCCTGTACACACACCCTTTGCAATATGATCTTTCAGCTACTTCCATCAAGAACTGGAGTTTATTTCTCCACCTCTTGAATCTGAGCTAGACGTGGTATGACTTGATTTGGTCATTAAGTGGGGTAACAGCAACATCTTTGAACAACTCAAAGCCAGCTGGCCCCCAAGTATGTAAAGGACCCAGCCAAGATTAGTGGCACTGCCTACTCAACCCACAGTAACCACAGATGCATGAGTAAATCCAGCCAAGACCAGAAGAACCTCCCAGCAAACTCAGATTTCTGAGCATGGATAAATGCTTACTGCTTTAAGCCACTGAATTGGGGATAGTTTGTTATGCAGCAGTAGCTAACCAATACAGGAACCCAAGCCATGCCTGGTATTCAGACAGCAGCACCTGTTGCACTCACTGTTACTATTCTTCGGCACACAGCATCAGGTCTGAGCGTACCCTTTCCCAAGGCAATGAGGAAACTCCCTGCATCAGTCAATATACACTGCTCCAATGCACTGGCTCCTGTTTAAATGCTCTGGGGAATTTAAATAGACTAAGCCTCTAGCAAGGCTGAGGTTCAAGCTGCTTCTCCTTCAGAGGCTGTCAGAACAATTTATTCATTCCACACCAGTTGGAAACATTTCTGGGTGAGGCTTTGAAACAACGGTAACAACTGGAATTATTTATTTATTTATTTATTTATTTATTTATTTTGAGAGGGAGTCTCCCTCTGTCACCCAGGCTGGAGTGCAGTGGCATGATCTCAGCTCACTGCAAGCTCCGCCTCCTGGGTTCACTCCATTCTCCTGCCTCAGCCTCCCTAGTAGCTGGGACTACAGGCACCCGCCACCACACCCAGCTAATTATTTGTATTTTTACTAGAGATGGGGTTTCACCGTGTTAGCCAGGATGGTCTCGATCTCCCGACCTCGTGATCTGCCCACCTCAGCCTCCCAAAGTGTTGGGATTACAGGCGTGAGCCACCGCGCCCATCCCTTTTTTATGAGACAGAGTCTTGCTGCTCTGTTGCCCAGGCTGGAGTGCAGTGGCGTGAACTCGGCTCACTGCAAGCTCCACCTCCTGAGTTCAGGCCATTCTCCTGCCTCAGCCTCCCGAGTAGCTGGGACTACAGGCGCCCGCCACAACACCTGGGTAATTTTTTGTATTTTTAGTAGAGACGGGGTTTCACCATGTTAGCCAGGATGGTCTCGATCTTCTGACCTCGTGATCCGCCTGCCTTGGCCTCCCAAAGTGCTGGGATTATAGGCGTGAGCCACTGCACCTGGCCAACAACTGGAGTATTTTGAATGAACTTTTACATCCCAGTCAGTTTCAGGATCACAAGTAAGGATTCATAGACTAGAAATCTGTGCATCTCTTTTTGAAACCATGACTTCATTTCCACCAGACAGCTCTCAGGTCTTCAAGATGTATGACTCATTGAAGGTCAGGAACCTAAAGAGTGAAATCATCAGCTATTATCTGTTATATATGCATGTGTAGATGGAGCCCAAATATCTGCTTTCCTTCAGGCAATCAGTTCTGTCCTTGTTTGCTCCTTCAATTTTAATTCTGGGAGAATGATACAGTTGGGCTCAAGGTGGATTCTAAGAGTCCCTTAATTTTAGAGAAATGTTTGTTTGGAGAAAGCTGGTTTTTAAATCTCTTCCAGAGCCTAGACTCAGGCTGCATTACATTGAACTATGTTTCTAAATATCCCATGACCTGGCAGACTGTCCCTCTGTGCGTTGTAATGGAAGTAGGGTAAAAGACCTTGCCTCATCATTAGTCAGCTACTGATTTCTTTCTTTTTCTTGCATTAGAGATACCTGTCTGTGGGAAGTGAACTCAGCTTCTGAGTTTCGCCTAGACTTCTCAAAGTCCTTGATGACCGTTGTCTCACTGAGGCCAGACAAACCCTGGTGCCAGCTGGAATGCATTAGGTCCAAAAGTCTGCACTCCTCTGTAGGGGTCCTTGGCATTTCCAGAACAACCCCCAGCCTTCAGAATCTGGGTGCTGTGAAGTTCTGCAAACTTAAATGATGATTAGATAAGGAAATGATCAGAACTTGCTCTCCATGCAAGTATCAACATGGTTGATTTACACCCAAAACTTGGCTGAAGCCACTTTTGGGGGCCTCTGCTTGTCCATGAGGAAGTCCTCATCATCCAGCTGCCATGGACCTTGGAGACCAGGAACTGGGTCTTTCTTTTGTTCACTTGTATGTCTCCAGTGTCTAGAAGAGTGCCTCACGTATGGTGGTTGCTCAATACATGTTTGTGGAAGGCATGAATGCTTACTGAAGGACCATCCTAGTCTTGTCTGCTACAGTTCTCCTCTCTGAATACTGCCCAGAAGCCATAACAAACTGTCTTCTTAATATTAAAAGAGCTAAGCTTTTAAAAACTATGTAACTTTTCTGTACTTACCTTTAGTTGTTTCATAATGACCGAGATCCTATTTAAGAAAATGTTTTAGGTCTTTTGACATTTCTTACAAACTTCTGAAATTCTAAGTTAAGTCTTTTGATCTCAGAATAACTTTGGGACATACCAGAGGGTCCCTGGAGCTTCTCAAAGGAAGAGAGATATTAAACAACTTAGGTTTATTAAATATGTTAAATTATATGGGAAGCATTGTAAATAAGAAGTTATATTTAACCTTCTTTGAGTTATATTTGTATAAATGTGTTGTTAATATGTGTTCCACAAACTAATAAATTCTTAGAAATCTAATGTGTTAGCAGCTGTAATTTTGGTTATTATGTTAAAATGTTATATGCTGCAAAACAACCACATTTCCTTGTGAATTGTGTCACTGTTATAATTAATTCTCAACTTTTAATGATGGCCATTTTAAGTTCTGTTACGCACAGATCGTTAAATAGTTAATTGTTTTCTTTTTTTCTTTTCTTTCTTCCTTCCTTCCTTCCTTCCTTCCTTCTTTCTTTCTTCTTTGAGACAGAGTCTTGCTCTGTCGCCCAGGCTGGAGGGCAGTGGCACGATCTCAGTTCACTGCAGCCTCCACCTCTCGGG